GTCAGAACATACAGAAATGTGCAGGGAATTTTGACAAAAGGCAAAAGTGGTTTTCTCCTGAATCTGATATTTTTCAAGAGATGTTGCCAGAGTCTACTTAATGACATTTTAGAGGTGGTTCAATATTTTGTTTTCATCTCTGCTTCTTATATTTTAATATTTGAAAAGACCAGACGAATGGAAATTATTCACAGGAATTGCATATATGGAAAATCTATAAGAGCCCACACGACAGATTACACTGGCCCATTGCTTATAATATAAGGTTACTACTAGAATGTATTCTGGTTATTAGGAAAGCTGGAGGTGAGTCAATTATTCGAATAAACAAACAAAGACCTGGTTGCCCCGTAGTTTAGTGCATCCCTGAGACGTTTGTAGGCTCCTTTCCCACGCCTGTTGTCTCATTCCTAAACTAGCAGAGGCTGTTGTGCAAGGCAGCCTGGCAACTCCTAATGAACAGGTAGCTCAATGCACTCCTCAGAAGCAATCCCTGCACACTGTCCCACCTCTCCACATTTTGGGCAGGGACAGGGCATTAACTGCATCTTTTGTGTATCAGAGGAGGGAGAAGAAGTTTGGCAGCTTAAGGAAAGAAAAGGATCAGCTTATCAGGCCAAAGGAATGTTCCTGTGGTCCCTCCAAAGGGGCCATGTGTTCTGAGTGCACAGAACACAGCTATTTGGTGTGTCAGACACTAGAAGAAGGTGAAAAGGGAGAAAGTGTCAGCCTTTAGCTTTCCCCAAAAGACTGGAGGACAACTTCAGCAAAAAGAAGTAACTCAGCCTCACAACTGACAATGTAGTTCCAGCCTTACTAGGAAACAGTATCCCTATATGCAAATTCTTAGGTAATTGATTGGGGTAAACAGAAACAATACAAAAAAGATACAAAAGCTGAACATGCATTGGGACAAAGTATGCATATTTGAATTCCTTAAGAATGGAAGTCTATGGCATCCAAAACCATGTAAAGCTGTTGGCCAACAGGTTTATATTTACCCTGGGAGTTAAGCTAATGACACTGCTGTTTATTAATTCGCTTGTTTTAATGTCTTTGGCTTTTGCAAGTTATGACACAGTAAATACATTTGTGTCACTTAGCAACCTCAGCTGTTTCTAAAGGAATGTCTTTTGTTCTAGGAAATCTATTATGAACGCAGATTATAAAACAATTATTGGGGAATCTAAGTTTGTCATATTTGGGTGGTGTTCTGGCTTTTCCCACTTATGCATTTGAAGTGTGCACAGGAAATTAATTTACTCTGCACAAGCATCCTTCATTGACACTATTGTTATGAAGAGAAGCTCTGCATATTTAACAAATATGACAGAAGTTTCTGTAGAAAATAAAGACATGAGAAACGCCTGAAGAAAGGAAGGATTGGAAAGGACCTTCTGGTCATTGGGTTCAAAGCTGTCTTTCTGTTTTGTAAACAACACTATAAATACTTTACAATTGTGATGTAACACTACATAGTCTCTGTTACGAATTTATCAACTTGATTTATTTCTATACACAACGCCAAAGCCTGAGATCACAGATCACACAGCTCAAGCAGAGGGGTTCGAAATGTAAACACCTGCACAGATTAAATATTATTTATAATTTGTACATTGATTGGGTTACAGGGTTTCCATAACATATTAGAACATGTGCATGATCCTGAACACATACATGAAGTGGAAGGACTGAGATTACACTGGATTGCAGACTTCAAAGGATTTAAGGGTTTTCCTTCTTTGTCCTTAATAGGTTTAAAGCTCAGAATTCACATCCAGTTGTCCACATTGTCAGGATCAGTACAAAAGGTAAGATATATAAATTGACCGTTATATTCTGAAATAAAAATGTATCCTCAGGAAGCACTATAAAATTATATCAAAATTTTATAAATGACCACATAATTAATACAATTAGTACTTGTTTATGAAATTCAGATTTTGTTCTCTGCTAGGGATATCTGGAAGACAATTATTACTAAAAATATCTTAAAGACTGTTTTCTAAACATTTGAATGGACAAAGTGAGAGTGCAAATGAACAATAATCATATAAAGGAACTAACTCTTGTTTGCAACTGTAATGTCTTGCTTAATTGAGTGACTTGGACAAGAAGTTGCCATGAGAATTTTGGCAATCCCAGAAGTGAAAGAGACAGTACACAGAAATTTATCTGGAAAAAAAAAAGAATTGCAGCAATGCATATTGTCAAATTTCTGCTGAGAAAAATGCTGCGAGTGGTCAGAAAAAAACCTGTCAACAGTTTTGCAACTCTTTTCATACTTTTATTTTAAAAGAACTTGCCTCTATCCTTAGTGTTTTGGGCTTTGCATGTTTTTTTGTTTGGTTGGGGTTTTTTTTAATTGCAGTTATTGTGGTAAACTGCTAAAGTAAAAGCAGTGCTGCAGAACTCATCACCGCAGTAGAAGACCAAGTATGATAACCAGGCTGTGATTGTCCTGATCTACATGAGAATACCTTGCTACAGCTAACTCAGGACTTGGCCAAATAACCTGGTGGTTACAACTGGAGAAGCCTCAGCTTCTTCAGGGCTGAGCTGGCAGCCTGTCACTTACGCTCACAAACTCTGCATCAGAGCACCCATGACGGCCACTTTGTTGCAAAACCCGCTGTTGAAGTTCTCGTTTCTACAGAGGGGCAGCAGCAAGCAGCTACCAGTTCATAAACTGCTGTAGTGATTTCTGCTGGGAACATCCAGTGATGGCTACAGTCAGTTTAGACCTGCCCTTGTCATGGAATGGGGTTTAATCACAGAAAGGTCTCTGTGTGCTGACACACTGAGATCCAGTCCACAGATGCGATTACGGTGTAAAATCATACTGAGCCCTTTTTGATGCAGTTTTCCCACATAAGCAAATCTTTGAGGGAGAACTTCAGATCTGACATAGGATATACCGTCTTTCCCCCATTTACGCTTTTCTCTTTCAGTCTTATTGTGAAGAGAGCAGATAGATTACTAAAGTAGTGGCTGAGATTCCAAATTCCTCTAGGAGAACATGATCTGAAATGCCCTTCTTCTGAAGATCTGCAAATCTACAACACTCACTTTGTTGAGGTGGTAAATCTATTAATCCTGATCAGTAACATTCGGCCATTTTCAGTGTGTTTAGTCCTAAAATCCTCAGCAGATGCTCAGTCAATTGTCAATCAATCATCACTAAAATTTTGCATTTAAAAAGATCTGAGGACATCAGGATTCTAATGACTGTGCTCTGAGCTCCCTGTCTGTGGCACTGATCTGCTCTATACTGCCAGCTTTTCCCAGCGCTGCTGTTGGTTAGGGATGCAATGAAGCGCAATTTGTGATTATCATTTCTGGGTTCATGAAAGCCCCAGGTGTAGATGTAATCACAAGGAGCACTGAGCTTTTGCTGGTATAGCTTATTTTGCTTTTGTGGGAGAAGAAAAGCCTGGAATAAGCTGTACTGGTTTATTGCAGTTTTGCTTGTATAGAATGACAGACTACCTACTTAGAAGTGATCTGAATATAGATATCCCTTGGAGTTGAAGTAGATCCATCCATTGTATCTATGTAGGCCTGCTTTTGTTTCACTTGAATAGATACTGCATAACTAAGGAATAAAAGTGTTTTCTTAAAAATATTTTGCTATGGGGCAACAAAATCTCACTTTTTCCTCATCTGCAGAACAATGCCATCTGAGTTTAAATTGGCAGTTACCAAGAAGCTGCTACAAATAAGAAAGTATTAGTACCTTAAATATATATATACGAATAAATATTACGCAATTAAGTAGCATGCTTTATGCCCAGCTCATGTAAATCCAGACTGCAAGTGTAATAATGGACTCGGACATGTAGGCTGGAGAGACAAGTAACATGCCAGCGACAGGCACGTTCACTAACACATGCACATATGCACAGGGTCTCTTGCTTTGTACAGCAAGTGAAAGTAGCTTAGGTGAACATGACAAACGGACCAAAGGACATGCCCTCTCCTTTGCCAGCTGCTTACTGATTAATCAAGGGCACAGTGCTGATAGTAGTTATGTGTATGAGTAACTTCCACTTTACTTGGTGCTCCCAGTGGAGCCGACCACATGCCCTGTCACGTGAATGAGCGCATTCTGGACCATGCCCCCAGAGTTCCGACACCCAGAAAATGTTATTTAAGGCTCATCATAGAAACGTCAGCACCTGCTTGAAGAATATGATGATGGACTCAAGGAAAAGAACGGGACTAGGACAGGGAGAGGCAGGACAGAGCCTTGGTGCAGGTGATGCGGCTGGCAGAAATCCCTACAGAACGCCCGCACAAAGTTGCCTCACGTCTGCTAATTCTAGTGATGAAAAATAAGACTCCAAAGTAATTTCTGTGCCGAGGAACGAATCGCAAAACCAGTGCGCTGCCGGGTGGGGGGACACGGCGGGCATATCAAGCAGGGGGAACGCGACCGCCGACCGCGAGCCAAGCGGTCAGAGCCGAGCGGTGCGGTGCGAACGTGCCGCGATCTCAACACGGAATCCTGCGGGAGGCTACAGTGGGCAACGGGAATCACAGCGCCACGTCCCGCTCCCGCAGATGCCCGTGCGGGACGGTCGCACTCCGCCGGGAAGCGCCGGCTCCCGCTTCCAGGCGCGCGCTGCTGCGGAAGAGCCGCATGCGCGCAACCGCCGGGCGCTCGCGGGGGCACCGGCGCGCGCCCGCACAGGCAACCTGCGGGCCGTTAACGGAGGGAGCGGGAGCGGCACCGGCCGGGCGGGCGCGGGGCGGGCACGGGGCGGGCATCGGGCGCCGCTCGCCCTCCCCGGCCCCCCCGCGCCGACAGAGCGGTGCGGGACCCCCGCCGGGCCGCCGCCCCGCCCCCCCTGCTGCCAATCACCGCGGCCCCGCCCCCGGGACCCGAGGTGCGGGGTTTGAAAGCGGGCCGGTCCATGCGGCACGCAGACAGGGGGGAGGGGGACGGGACAGGCAGTGGCGTGTCCGGCGGTTGCGGGGCGGCCTCGCCCGACCGGCGGGAGCCGCCCCCGCGCTGTTGGCCGAGCCCTCCCCGCGAGGGGCGCCGGCCCCAAGACCGGCCGGCGAGCGTTGGTCCGGCGGGCCGCCCTCCCCGCTCTCCCCCCGGCCGGCGCAGTGGGAGGCGCCCGGGCGCGCGCGTCACCCATTGTTTACAAACCAACGCCAGCGGGCCGAGCTCCAGCCGCGACCGCAGCGCCGGAGCCGCGTGTGCTCGCTCGCGCGCGGGGCGGCGGGCGGGCGGCGGCCCCGGTCCCGCTGCGGCGGCTGCGGCACGGCAGGGACCCGGCAGAGATGCCGTGCCGCCCAGGCGAGCGCTTCCTGCTGCTGGAGCGCCCGGTCGCCGTGGGACAGGCGGGCTCCAAGGAGGTGGACGCGCTGGTGGCTAAGCTGGGCGAGGTGCTGCAGCTGAGCGCCCAGCGGGCGCCGCCGCCGCCCCGCGCCCCGAAGCACCTGGGGCCGGGCAGCGCCCGCGACCGCGCCGCCCCCTACTCGCCGCGGTGCTGCAGCGGCGGAGGGGCCGGGCTGCTGGCGCCGCGGGGTCCGGCCCCGCCGCAAGCCCACCCGCAGCACGCTGAGACCCCGCGGCCAGACCGGAGCGGCCACCAGCGGGTGACCAAGCAGCTCTGCGGCCGCGGCTGGCTGCGGAGCGCCGCTCGACGGAGGAAGCAGCCGCCGCCGGGGCCGGGCGACGGTCCGGCGGAGGAGGAGGACCCGCACCGGCTCCTGCAGCAGCTCATCCTCTCTGGCAACCTCATCAAAGAAGCCGTCCGGCGGCTGCAGCTGGCGGCGGCGGCGGCAGCGGCAGCGGCGTCCGCGGCCTCCAGCGGCAGCGCCTCGGCAGGGAGCGGCGGCGCGGACAGCGAGGCGGCGGCGGCGGCGGTGCAGCCCCTGCAGTAGCCGGCGGGGCCGAGCGGCGGTGACCGGGGCGGAGGAGCGCGGCCGCTGGCGGCGGCGGGGCCCCACCGGGCGGGCTGCGGCAGCGCCGTGCGGGCTCTGCCAGGATGTAAGTGTGTCCCGGCGGCGGGGCCCCCCCGGCGGGGCCGGTGCCGGTGGAGCGGGAAGGGTGTCCGAGCCCCCCGTCCCAAGGTCACCCGCGGTGCGGACCCCGCCGAGCCCCGCCGCTCGCCCACCGGCGGAGGCCGCGCACGCCGCCGGCCCCGCGCTGTTGTTGTGCCCCCCTCCCTCCTCTGCCTTCCCTGGGAGCTCCTCCTCCTTCTCCCCCCGCCGGGGCAGCCTGGCCGGGGCCGCGGACCCCCCCGCCGCGGGTCCCCGCTGCCGCGGAGCTGCTCCGTCTCCCAGGAGCCATTTGCAATAATCCTCGCTGACCCCGGCGGGAGGTGTTTCCTTTCCCCTCCCGGGCTGATTTGTTTTTTTTTGTTGGGGGTTTTTATTGTTATTTTAACGTTTATTGTTATTATTTCTCGTTGTGACTGTATGAAGCAGTTTTAAAAAAATGTGAATATCAAAGCTGGAAGGCAGCTGGACTTAACAAATGAGTGAATGGAGCCTGAGGATGCATTGTTCACATAAGGTAGCTGAAACAAGTTTTTTCTACCAAAAAGAAAAATCCTAAATCCACCCTTCCCCGACAAACGCAATGGCTCAAGTACAAGATGCAGCTGTTGATTTTAAATATATGCACTTCGTACCGGAGCGTTTGAAATGTGTTCCTGATTTGCAGGACTTACTGTCTTAATTAACCTGTCTGTATTGAATAAACGTGGTCTTGTTTATATTTTCGGGTCTGTGTCTCATTGTTAAGGTGAAGTGAATTCTGGTTCACGAGAACAAAACTGTGTGGATAATGCTCCAGTAGGCACGTTCCCCCTTGATCTTCTTTCAGTTGTAAGATCTCCATTTTGCGGGCAAAAAAAAATCCCCACAACAATCCGCATAGTCTGATGCAGTGGGACACTGGTTATTAATGCACGGAGATGCAACTGAGCCCCTTTGTTTGCCAGCAGCGTTCATTCGTAAGCCGTGAGACACCCCTTCGAGCAGCCGAGAATGTGGCTGCTGGAATTTATAAGTCAAATAATTCTGAAACCAGAATTAGGGATCTTGTATTGGGGCAGGAACATAGCTTGTGTTGGTTACTTGTTTGGGTTGTCTTTTTTTATTCCTCTGAGGAGGGGGGGTGGGAAGTACTCAAGAAAGGAGAGGTAGGTCTAGGCAGCACTTAAAAATCTGTAGACCGGAATTTGATAATTTGATGCTGGTCATTGTTAAGTTCCAATACCTATTTTGAATGGCTTCCTTGGTAAAATCCTACCTTGGGTTTTTAGTAGTCATTGAGCTTCAAGATCAGAACTGAACAACACATCAGACAGACTGGAGCATAACAATCTCCCAACCCCCACTCAATTTGAGGTAAAAGCTCCTTTGAAGAAGGTAGGAATCCCACATGAAAGAAAATGGAAGAAGATGTTTGTCTTTGTCCAAGAGAGCAATTTGAACAGCTACGTTTATTTCTGTGATTAGTTCTTTCATGAATACATTAATTCCACAAAATATTTTAGATTTCTTTCTCTGCCACGGCTACTAATAGAAACTGATGCTGAAGGGTTTTATGATGTCTCACTGAATTCCTCATGCAGTAGGACCAGTATGTGATGTTATTATTAGCTTTATCTTGATTAATTTATAAGTATAATGCAGTTCAATGCATTTTAGCATTCCTTAATTGCTAGCATCTGAAGTCTCTTTTCGTATAACTTGCACTGCTTTTGTGGCATTTTGCACAACTTGTAAAGTATTTAGATCTGCCATTAATTCTTATCCTCTAGCACGATAACATAGTGGGTAGATTGTCCTTCAACTGAATTTTTATTTGAAATTTTCTTGTTTCTTAATCCAGTAAAAAAAGTTCAATAGAAGATACAAAGAAACCTTAGCTTCAGATATAACCACTACCCACAACTGAAAAACTAGTTATTCTTGTATTTGCCCTTTAGATGCTCAGGGAGGTGGGTATTTGCTGTGCTGATGCTGAATTTGAACCTTGGGATGAATAGTTTAATTACTAAAAGAGCTGAAGGGGACGAGCTCAAAACTGAGCACAGCTGATGGAGCTGGTGTTGTTACACAACTATGGTTGAAAGTATATGTGTGTGGGTCAGCTGAAATTCTGAAAGCTGGCAAGTTTGACTTGAACTTTTTTGCCACTGATAATTATGCATTGATTTTGCATCCCCCTTCCCTCCCCCCCTTTCCCCTCCCCAAATCCTGGCCTCTGTATACTAATGAGAACAGCTAACTTTACAAGTGTCCTTTGTAGTCATTGAAAGCCTTGAGACATTCCTTTTAAGGATTTTACTAGAATAACACTTTTCAATAAAGTGGCAGTTGAAGTGAGGCGTAGAAAAGATGCTAATAAATTTCACTGTGACTGGTTGGTTTTTAAGCTTCCTAAATTACTTCTAAAATAGCTTTTATTTTCTCCTTTTTGCAAGGCTGAGAGATGTATATATGAAAAGGGTTATAGTAAGCTAAATGTTACGTAGAGTGTGTGATGATTTAGTAAAAGGAATTTTGGCACTTGTTTCAGATAATTTGCATAACTCACTGATGTGTCTTCATCACTTTAAATGTGAACATCCTAAGCTCATGCCAGCAGCCTTTCTCGTCACATCTTCTGTAAAAGATTTTATCTTCTTCAAGATAGAGCACGTCACTTCTTCATGTGGGAATGGATCAAAAGTGGCTAATTTTAGTTTTGGAAGCCACATTTTACAAAGTTTTGGACCAATTGAAATATTGCCAGAAGGTTTCCGTTGATTCATTGCAAATTCTCTTTTTTTGCCTTGTGCTACACCGTGTGGGCATACAAACAGAAAGGAACTGTGACAAAAAAGTGACCATATACTTTGTTTCCCAAACAGGATAAAAAGTTTCAAATTTTGTAAGCTTCTAATACCTGTAATTCAGAGGTGGGGTTTCTTTATTACATTTAGTCTGTGCTGGTCCTCAGATACCGGTCGTTGGTTTCTAGAGAAGAAATTTCTAAAAAAAAATGCCAGTGTGTTTGGCCTTCCTAGTATGCCTAGGCTGTTTTCATTTGTAAGTGAAAATGTAGTTTACCTCAGCTTTAAATTTGGAATAAAATGATATTTTCACGATAGGCATTTAGCTAGGTTTTAGCTTTTTTTTTTTTTCCATCTTGTGAAGAAAAAAATCATTCAAAACACAAGATTTTGCAGTGGATCACATGAGCTGTGGAACCAAAAGTAAGTAATTTAGATTTTTGTAACAAGTGACATTTCAATGCATTGGGGAAGATATTTATTTTCATTATATCTATGGGGCTATATTTTGAGATCAAACTTGTTTTTAAATAATTTTGTAAACGAATGCACTGAAAACTCACTGCCTCATCTTTCGATCCACCTCTCTGTGATGTAGAACTAGCATGGCACAAGGCTGGCATAGCTTTTTCATTTGTAGTCTATGTTACTGCTTAACTCCTGGGTTTTCTCCATATAACTAGACAAGTCAGTTTTCCTGACTCTTTACTCAAAACTCAGCTTCGCACCCTAGTTATATCTTGCTCTTTGTACTCCCATATTCCCTGAGCTCTTAAAAGTAATTCAATTTATCCAGAAGTCTGGCAGATGGAATGATTTTTGTGTGCTATTTCAGTGTGTGTCCTGTCTCCCTTTTAGCTCATTAGTGTGTACTGTACCAGCACCTAGAACATATGTTGGTATGGTACATGGGATAATAAACAAGGCAGGAAAGCAAGGACTCTGCTCTAAGTCCTTAAACTCAAGTTTTAAAGAAGTCTTTCAAGCAACTAGCAAGCATATCTTATGGAAGGCATAAGGGAGAAGAAGGATATGTGCTGGCTAATGCACAACTTAAGTTCTGGTCAGCCAAGGCCAGTCCTAGTGTTTGTGGTTATTCCATCTTCACCTTCATCCAAAAAACATTCTTCATTCCCTCCTAGTCCCTGGCCCGATGATTTTCCTCTCCTCACCCTGCTTTCCTTGCCTTACCCAGGCCATTATTTTCAGCTTGTCGTTGTAGTCTTTCACTTTTATATATCTTTTGTCCACCTCATATTGCTCTTCCCAAATATTATGTAGCTTTATTCTCTTCAGTTCCTTTTTGGTAGGTACTTTTGATGTGCTTTTTCACTTGACTTCAAATACTGTAGCTCAGTCGCTTTTCGGTAGCCATGATCTGGCTAACTTCTTATAAACCTTGTAGTGTGTTAGTTGGAGGGCAAGTTAAAAGTGTCCTTCATCTTCAGTTTGTACAACATAGGGCAGAAATCAGAGGCAAAATCCTAGCTGCAACAAAATGAACAGATGAAGTTAACAGAAAAATTCCTTTCAACTTCTATTTCTATGGGGCTTTATGGTTTTTTGGGTTTTTTTAGAAGTAACTGGAAAACACCACCTAAAGTGCTACAGTGACTACAGAAATGCCTTTGGGGAACATAAAAATGACATCGACAAATTCATTTCCTGAGTCAATTAGTTTGATTTGCTATTTTTCTTTCAGAAATGATGCTCTAGCTATGTGACTAACCTCAGCCACCTTTGTCAAAGCTGCAGAACTGCCATTATGCAATTTCCTTGGCAAAAGGCAGCTGCTGGAAAAGAAGGAATTGGTGCCCATAGAGAGAGGAAGGCTGCAGTGTGCCCGAGCTGCATTAGTAAACATTGTAAACTCCACAACAGACGAAGCTACAGGAAACCAGGCACCATAAATTCAGAGGCGTGCAGCATTAGTTGTTCCTTTTGCAATATCCTGTATCTAAATTGTATTATTTTTGCTTCCCATTACATAGTATGGTGGTGTCTGGTACAGTAATATGGCCAGCTAAGGGTGCTCTTCATCACTGCAGGCACTAGGACATCAGCAATCAAAAGAAATTGTAAAAAATACCTTGTCTCTGTGTCCCTCAGTAATCCCTGGCCTAGCAGGACTTCATTCATGAATAGCTGTTAAAGAAAGGCTATAAGCTCCTGAGCTATATGAAGAAGTTTAATACATTCAATTCCAACCCCAAAAACATGTTTTACAGCAGCAGCAATTGTAAAACTGGCACTTTATAAGCCTTGTGTCATCAGCTCCCCCTCAGAAGGTGGTCTCTGAGTGATTTTACAGTCCAGAGAGGTTGTAGTCTTCCAGCTCAACGGGGTCACTTTCAGGAGCAGCACTGACTTCCAGAAATACATTTTCCATTTGGCAGTATGGGATGAGACAGCACCAGGATGCAAATGTTTTAATTAGACAAAATGGATCCTGGCTGACTTAATAATAAATATTTACTGCTCTAAGCATTTTACCACAAGAGGTTGGGGCTTATTCTACCTGCATCACAAAAATTGTCCTAGTTTCAAGGCTTAAATCTACTGAAGCATGGGCTCTAAGTTAAAGTGCAAATTTGGGTTATTAATGTCCTTAAATCCACAGTGCAATGCCTTTTCATTTTTAAAAAAGTAGTAGTTTTCCACAGGAAGCCACACAGTGCTGAAGCAGGTGACTGAATGCATGTCCGTACATCCCCAGCTTCTCCTGAAAGACTGAAAAAGAGGAGGATACCTAATTCTGTCCTGTTGTTAGCAGGCAGCATTGAGAGTTGCTATTCTGGCAATACCTAGCTGTCAGTCAGTGCACAGGTATGCCCCCCCGATTGATAGCTCATCTGTACATCATTTTGGAAGGTAAAAAAGCAGACATTTATATTTTCCATCTTGCTGGTCTGCTCTTCTTGTTAGATTTCAC